GAATGCAGATCTTTCTTTCTTCCTTACAAGTAAGAGAGAGCCCTTGGTTACAGTTTCCCCCAGCTCTGAAATGCTCTTTGGGTTTCAGAAACGCTGACATCATGCGCCATGAAAATGTCCATTGGAAGGACTGTAACACAAAACTTATAAGCTGATTGTTAGTGCTGGCGTATGAGAATCAGTGAAATGAGCTCAAACTCAAGTGGCAATGGAATCTGTGTTTCCCAAATCCTGCTTAAATTAAGAGATCCTAAACCATGTCTTCTGCCTGGGGTCTGTGGGTAGCACAGAGAAAGAAATAATTTGGCTGTGCTTCCTAGTGCTTCAACAAGAGCTAAGTGCCTTCTTCAGTGCAAACAAAACTTGAGCTACTCCAGAAACGGAGCTGTGCAGCTGCAAGGGAATTTGAGACCTACCCTGTCCCCCTTTTCTTCTGTAGGTTCAAATTTTCTTAGACTGTCTTTTATCTAACCAGTTGTTAACATATCCGGAGCAGGTAGCTAGGTATGTAAATAATTTTAGTCTTAAAAAATGGGCACTTAGAGGCAGCTTGTTCTGTTTGTGGATCTAACTCCTGAGTTGAGGTTGCAATGCTGAAGTTTTTGTGCAGCTTTTCTGGTGAGGTGGTGAGAGCAGAGAGGAGCCACCTCAAACGCTTAAGTGTGTTTCTGAAGCCACAGCTGCTCTGTGCTCCCTACAAGTCCTACTAAGAGATCACATACCAGCTGGGGACTGGCATAGCCAGCCTGCCTGTGCCTGTGCCATGTCTTCTCTTGGCTCTGTGCCTGCTGGGGAGCAGTGTAGGAAGTTCCTGCCGAGAGCAAGCTGAGAGCTCTCACTCTCACCGCCAGCCGTGGATTTCGTCTGGCTAGATCCCAGATGATGGAAGGTAATCTGTTGTATTCACTGCAGTTTTTGACTTCTGCTCATCTGCTGTTGAAGATTGTATCAGTAGTTTTGCATCCCTAATTTGTAAGTGATTTGCACTCCAAGTTGTGGGAACAAATAATTCTGTGCGTAACTTAGAAAATGTGGCCTGTGGAGTCTATTTGCAGTAACCATATTAGTTAAATTACCAGTGTGATTAACTGTAAGAATGAGTGTGCTTTCATAAATACCAGAGCAATTATTTCTGGTAATTTATTCCACTCCTTACAATATGGCTACGAGAATCTGAGCTAGTGTTTTTCAAATAATATATTCCATATTTTGTTGGGAGACTTGAGAGAAATTTCTTTTTGCTAGGGCAATTAGCTTATACTAATTCAGAGAACATTTTCAATGTTCTTTATTAGAGTTTAGGAAATTATGAGTAAAATTATTTTAATTGTAGGTACTCAGCAATGTAACAACAAAGTACACTTCTAAGCTCTCATTTCCATGTCTTTTCATTTGTTAAGATTAAAACAGCATGCATAACATGAGTGTATAAGTATATATACTTTAGGATTGTAAAACCAACCTCCACTTTTACAGTGACACCAGTTAGATAGTTATTTCTGAGTAAGTGTTTCATTCCCAAGTTACTTGTCTAGCTAGAGGTTTGTAGTGCCTTAGTTGGGTTCATTCAGCTGTTTGCTTGTCTTGACAAATATCTTTTCCGAAATTATCTGTCTTGAAAGAAAAAGAGCAACTTTAAATCTTTTTTTTTGTTGTTGTTCCTTTTGGTTTGGGTCCAGTATGGAATGCAGCCACGTGAGTAGTTGAATTAACACAAGAGAGGAGGTTTCAATTTCCGGGCAGGAATGAGGAAACCAGTTTGGCTTTAGTAGAGTGATGTGATCTTCAATCAGATGCTCTACCAGCTACAGCTTGGAAGTATGGCACCAAAGGCTATTTCTTTAAGCTGAGCAGCTACTTTGTGGTTTCATTGCTGCTTGAAACCTTTTTAATTTTTTAATGCTGAATTTATGAAACATAAATTATGGATGACACAAATACTGTCTTTGCTTTTAAATTGTTTGAGGAGTTGTAGGATTATTTTTGATTTATTAACATTTTTCCAGGGACAAATACATTGCTAGTATTGGGGGCAATCAAGTGGGGATATTTCTCATGTATTATTATGCATTTGTTTAGCCAGGTTTCATCTGAAAGAATATTCATGTCAAAAGCCGTGTCTCAGGAGTCACACCATCCAGATCTGGGTCTCGTGTTAATTTATTCCAAGTTGCCATTTTGCTGTTAAAATCTTCAATTCTAACTTCAAGAAGCATCAACATCATGATTAGGAGCTTTATTGGTGAAAGGTCAGATCTTTCTCTTTGGAGACCATTCGAGAGCACTGCCTGTTTCTGTTGAAAATTGGGAAATAGTTATTCACATAACCTCCTTTCAGCCCTCCTTAAATTCCATGTTAAGGTCAAAATAATTATGGTTTACCTCTTGTACTTATACAAAAGTTGGATATACTACACATCTAATTTTCATGCTGTATCAAAGTTGTATCTTTGTGTGCCTGTTGTCTTGTGAACCAGACCACTTATTTCAGTTAAAATGAATGTGGGAAAGTAAAACTGCTTTAAATTAAGCTTTAGAGGGATGCTGTAAACATGTGTGTCTCTATGATGGCTTGAATGGCAGTTGCACGAGTTCTGCCTTGATTTCTCAGTAAATTGATGTGCAAATGGATATATTCATTTTTGCATTCTATTCTTCTACAATGAAGGCATACAGACTTACAATTCTAGTTCAGAAAAAAAATCTGCCTTACAAATTAATGAAAGTTACTATATACTCCTTCACATATTACATAATCCTTCACATATTACATAATCAAACATATATTTCTCCCAAACTCCCAAATCTTTGAAAGATGTACAAAGATACTGAAGAATCATGCAAGATGAAGATGTTCTTTTAAATTTGCATTAAGGGGCTTAATGTTTACAATAATAAATTGAGAATGACCATTATTCAGTGAGGCTGAATGAAAATGAATGCTTACTCATCAAAACAGTTATTAGAACAGAAGAGTAATGTCCTGTGGGGCTTCAGAGTTGTATGCCTTTCACATGTTACTATGATGCAGTGTACCTTTTCTACAAAACTACAGCATGATATTTTCCTGGCGGTTTGTGGGTTTATTTCTTTGAAATGAGTGCTTGTATTTTAGAACAACTCCGGACCACTGTTGGAAGTCAGCTGCCGGCTTTCATTAGTTGAATATAAATAATAAACCAGCAGACCCTTGGAATGGTGCAACCCAAAAGACATGAAATTGTTGATTTCTGACCTTCATTTTCTGTATGTTTTAGTAGTAGCCTCGTGCCTTTTTTATTTCTTATATCACCTTTTGCATTTCTTACATCAGGTATTGATGGGCATTTTTAGAAGTAATTTTGATGCAATAAAATTTATTTTTTCATTCTCCTGTGTACTGAATTCATTTGTGTAGCTGAAGTTCTAGAGGAAAATTTTTACTTCTCTTATTATTACTATTTTTATGTACTGATTCAAAGTGATGGTCTTAAGGAATATGTAGAAGGTTTTTAATAAGCAATGTGGTTTGAATCACTCATTATACTGCTGCAGAAATGTCTCACTGCTGCTAAATATTGTAGTTATTAATCTTTCTTGACAAGGAGGCAATGGTTTTCAAGGTATTTTTGCTGTCTAGTTCCCACATCACTACATTTCCCATGTTCTTTATTGACCTACTATTCCTCCTGACTGAAGGGCCTGGGAGACTTCAACCCACACTGCAGCCTGTATGACAGTGACAATGAGTGCACACATGGAAATTGAAGTCCCTCTCCTATTCCCTGTCTGAGGGTGAAGATCCTCTTACTCTAAGCCAGTCCCTGTGCTCACACATTCCCCCTGGGTTGTGGTAGTCCTCATCCCAGGACGATCTCCTCCTTTTGCTCATTTCCTTTTACAAATCCCTAAAGCTTCACCATCCTCACAGAAGTTCTTCTGACCTCTAGCAGATGACGAGGCAGAGAAGGTGTAAAGGGTACCAGATGCTACAAACAACTGCAAAGGAAGTTGAGTCCATCGATATCCTAAGATATTGGATATTACTCTACCCTCATTGTATCAGTACTTAAGAATTGTTATTATTGTAGTGGTTTTAAACTTTTTTTCTCTTTTATAATATTGGTATATTACAGATCACTGTGCTGCACTCAGAGGTGTATAGAACAGATTAAAAGAAATAAGTATGCAGTATTCCTTGTTCCATTGCAGGGAGCAGCATTTAAAATCAGAAATTACATGGAGTGGTTCTCTTATTCATGAAAGAAAAACTGAGGCTTCGTTTCTACTCTTTTCATCCAGTTGAGGTCTTGATCAAAATTTCTACACTAAAATGCTATTATATTGTTTGAGTATTTTTTCCCCTTGTCTGATACCCAGACATCTGTCTTGTTGCTGGTTATACAAGTAAAATTAAACTATGCAAATAGATAGAAAAATTGTTATTCTTGAAGGTGATAATAAAGTTTCTTATTGTCCATAAAAATACTGTATATTTTAAATATAAATTTAAATTTACCAGCTAGTGAGTAGAGAAGAAAGCATGGGAAGGCTTCTTGATTTTTAGTTTACTGTCCTCACTAATGGATATCTGTAACTTGATTTAGGAGATAATGACCAAATGCTTTTAAAACAATAAGCCATCTGAGTTAGAACATTTCTCTTCAGGTTTTGACATCATGGTAACATTTTAATTGAATTCCTAAGAGGGATTTATTCATCCAGGGAAAATATATTTTAAACAGTCTAGACTATGGATTGTTTAAATCTGGTTACCTCTGTGGGCAGACTTGTGTTGTCTGACCTTGGAAGGCGGTGACAGAACTAAGATCCTGATCCTGTAAAGAGATTTATGGTGCTGTTTTCCTGATACTAAAAAATGGATACATTTTAAATGGAAGTTTCGTTACAGGTCATTAATTTGTGGCTCTGACTGTTTGTGCCACGTGCAGCAGGGGCATGCACGGTTGCCCAGCTGCGACAGCACAGTGGCATGGGGGCTTCTCTTTTGTCTCCAACAGAAGCAGGGGGCAAGAAGCTGCGGAGCACTGTCCAGAGGAGCACGGAGACAGGGCTGGCCGTGGAGATGAGGAACTGGATGACTCGCCAGGCGAGCCGGGAGTCGACGGATGGGAGCATGAACAGCTACAGCTCTGAGGGAAAGTAAGCAGCATTTACAGCTGTGGGGTTCTCTCCATGAAGCTGGGGGACATTTCTCCATGAAACTGGTTGTTAGGGAGAAGCACAGTGAGTGCTGTGGGTCCTGTTCAGTCAGAATTCCCTTCACAAGCCAGTGTCATTGATGGACTAAGCCTAAGTCTTCCCCTGTGACTGAAAAGAGTCTCCCACTGTTGGTGCGGGAAGGAGGTGGATCGTTTCTGCTGTGCCGTGAGAAGGGCACATGGTGTGTCAGATCACCATCGTGAGGTGTGTAAGGAGGGGAAGCAGGTGCAGTACACCAGGTAAAACACAGATATGGACAAGTTGTCCTCCAAAAACTCCTGGTGTACGTCAGTGCTATGCAGAGCAAGGCATTTCCAGAGCACTTCCAGCTCACTGGGCTCAAGAGTTTTTCAAAGATTCTGCTACTTTTAACCTGAAGAAATTATCTGGGCACAAGTACAAGTCTGTTATGTATCATGGTTATCATAGCATCATAAAAGCCCAAGTTAAAAACTTCTGAATGGTATATCTGAGACATTGCCCAGAAAAGTCTTATTGAGGGTTGATTTATTAGTGGCGTTCACAGCCCTGGACAATCCCTCTATGCTGCACAATATATTTTATGTTTCCAAGCTGGTGCACTATATGCATTTGAAATGGACATTTCTTAATGACTGGTCATTACAAATTTCATTAGTTCTTGTTGCTCTGTAATGGGTCACAGATAATTTATGGCAAGCATTTTAAGTTAGTTTGGTCATTTGCCACAAGGGATTTCGATTCTGTTATTGAATAGACGTCATTCTCAAAGACATTTTCAACAAAATATTTTGAATTAATGGCAGTTTTAAAAATAGCAACCAGTATTTGGTCTAATGTCATCATTTCACTGTGTACATTTGATATTTAGCCATTGAATTCGCAGTAACTGAGAAATGTGGGCAATTTAACCTTGATGTAACTAAATCAGTGGTAAGGGTGTGTGTTAGTATCTTAATGAACTGGTCTCATGTCAATACTTTGATAATTAACAGTGGTCTTTTATGCGTTAGAAAAGGACAACATGCTGGAAGAATACAAATTTGGAAATTATTGAGGAGAGTGCTTTCTTTACCTGTTTGTTTATATGCTGGAAGCTAAATTGCTGCTTGTTGAACACTGTGGGATTTCAAAAGTTACAGTAATTGTTTTGTAAGTTTCTTACAGTACTACCAAACCCCCAAACATTAAGTGCAAAACATCTAGAAAACAAAAAACAAACCCAAGCCAAAACAAAACAAAAAACAAACAAATAAATGAAAACCACAAACAAACAGAGGGCAAATTTAAGTGTATTTTTGTTTGCTTTCTTTTTCAATATGATTTCTTGATTTCTAGTTTGATCTTCCCTGGTGTGAGGTTGGCTGCAGACAGCCAGTTCAGTGATTTTCTGGATGGACTTGGTCCTGCCCAGCTTGTAGGACGACAGACATTGGCAACCCCATCAATGGGTAAGTGTTTATGCCCTCTAGATATGACATATTCTATTTGGTCAGGTAATTAGAACATAACATTTGTCTAGAGTCCCTTTAAATATGGATTTCTCTTGTGGTTTTGAACAACTCTGTTAAGACCAAAGCTGTAACCTCGGCTAAAGTTGAATGTAATCATGGATGCTTATGAAGACATGCAAAAGTTGCTTTGAAAAGTTCAGCCTTTTACCTCTTCTTCAGTTTTCCATCTTTAAAAAGGGGCTAATGAGACCAAACTTTTGTCTGAATCACTTGGATAATATTGTGTAAAAACTGGTCATTTAGGTGCAAACTATTTGTTACCATTGTGTTTACAGGCTTGTATATTAGCAAGTTATATTTTCATAACTTGTCCTTAACTAGAGACATGGTGAAGAGATTTCAAGCAGTTTTACGGAGCTGCTTTGTATTAATTCCCTTGCTGCCTTTTTTTTTTAATATGAAACTCTTGGGAAATAGAAATTAATTTGAAGTATTAGAGGCATGGAACATGGGAGAGAAGGGGTTATTGCAGAGGTTTTAAATTGTTTACTAACATAAATATCAGCGAAGAGGGTAAATATTAAATTACATAGTAGTGTTAAAATCCAGATCATACTTATTGATGAAAAACAGACTATACAAGTCACCACATATTCATCTTAGAAGTTTTTTCAACATTTTGTATATTAAAGTAGTTCTGAATTACAATGCTGAGATTTCTTTTTGTTATCTAGGAGATATTCAGGTGGGAATGATGGATAAGAAAGGACAACTGGAAGTAGAAATAATCCGAGCCCGTGGCCTTGTTGTAAAACCAGGTTCAAAGACACTGCCAGGTAAGGAAGAAAAACCTCAGTAACAATCTTAGCACAGAGACAGGGGTTGGACTTCATGATCATAATGGGTCCCTTCCAACTCAGTATATTCTATGATTCTGAGAACAGCATTCTACCAGAAAGGTCTGTGGCTTTTCTGTTCAGCTTTGCCAACCCTTAACAAGTTCAAATCTCAGTAGGTTATAATGTTGTATACTGAAATGCATACTGTATTGAAATGATACACCAGAAATCAGCCCTACTTCAGGAGGAAATTAAAAATCAGGTTACCAGAAGACCCAAAAATATTTTTGGTAATAGCAAAGGCATCCTTAGTTATGGGGTACGAAGAAAAGTATATACTGAAGATTTTATATAGGTGTCTCAGGAATGAAGAGGGAATCCAGAGATGTGGAATAGGTAACTACTTGAAAAGTAGACCAATATTTGATACTTACTCCTTATTTTTTATTCTGATGTCCTGTAACACTATGTGAAAAGGACAATATAATGATATTTTTAGCAAGCTCTTCTGCCGAAATAGAAATTGTGTCAGAGTCCTTTCTTCACTGATTTTCACCTTGTAGGTAATTTTAAATTATTAACAATTTGGAGCATTGATCCAGATTTCACCAAAGTCATTGCAAGTCTTGCATTTACTTAATGGGCCTATTTTGCACATTGTACAGTATAGGGATGCTATATATAGGAGTACTTGATTTGTTCAGGTCAAAATCTGAATTGTTTCATGGTAAAAGAGACATACAAAAAGAAGTCAAGAAAAAATTACACCTGAGGAGAACAGTAAAGAAAACACATGGATGCTTTGTATGGGAATAATTGTTAATATTTCTTGTGGAGATTGGTTCTTACAAGTCATATATCCTTTAAAAGCAGATTTTTATATGGTGATAGAAAGTGTGTGTGTTACACAAAAAAAATCTAGACTTTTTTTACTTACTGTTCTCTATTTTCATTCTTCTAAGCACCATATGTAAAGGTGTATCTATTAGAAAATGGAGTCTGCATAGCCAAAAAGAAAACAAAGGTAGCAAGAAAAACGCTGGAACCACTTTATCAGCAACTTCTATCATTTGAAGAAAGTCCCCAAGGGAAAGTTTTACAGGTAATTTACATAAATATTCCTCTGAACCTGAAAATATCCCCTGTACAGTTTTCACTGAATGAGTTTCGAATTTCTTTCAGGCTTTATTTGGCAATAAATGTTCATACTTTATTTACTTGCTGAGTAGATGAACATAACAGTAATAGCTATTTATGCAAGTAGAAACTGAGTATGCAAGTAGAAGGGAGCAAAAGTGAGTTACAGATTTATTTTGCTTCTTCTGTATGTATGGGCTCCGCTCACTGGGCTTTCCCTGGTATCGTGGATAATTGTTGCTGGTGCCCAGATCATTTCTGTCTCTGCATCATGATTAGGATACACAGAACTAAACTGTGTCAGCGTAGTTTAGTTGGATATTTCAGTTCTTCAGTTGGATATATCAGTTGGATATTTCATACCTTACTGTAATTAAATAAGCAGAGATTTTTGACAAATCAGATTAAAGCTTTTGACATTTTCACTAAATTTTTTCTATTTTCTTGTGTTTCTTTACCTAACAGATAATTGTTTGGGGAGACTATGGACGTATGGATCACAAATCCTTTATGGGAGTGGCACAGATACTTTTAGATGAACTGGACCTGTCCAACATGGTGATTGGGTGGTTCAAACTTTTCCCTCCTTCTTCCCTAGTAGACCCAACCTTAGCTCCTCTCACTAGAAGAGCTTCCCAATCATCTCTTGAAAGTTCAACAGGACCTTCGTATGCTCGCTCATAGCAGCTGTGAAACTGTTGTCATAGCAACCAGCGTTACAAAAAAATAAAATTACAGGTCGCAAACCCTGGTAACACTGCATGCTTAATGTTGTGTCTTCTGAGCCTGTTTCTAGGGCTGCAACGCGATCCTGTGTTCTCAAGGAAGTTGCACACATTGTGCCCTACGGAAGGCCCTCAGGTGATGGACTGAAATCATGAAGAACTGATAGGTTTGGAGTTCAGGGACTCAGTTTTGGTCCAATCTGAAGCCATGGACTAAACTAAAAAAAATCAATCTGTTTCATGCAACAAAAGTCCTTTTCAATGGCATATCTGTTTTGTTGCTCCCTTTTCTTTATTTATCTGCCCTCCCCTCCTAAAGTTTGGTTATGCCACAGAAACGGAGTCACCCTCCCATGGAGCCATGTTACAAGTCAGTGGATTAGCAGACATTGGAAGAAGAAACTAAGGATGCTGGAAAAGTCAACTGGCACTTGCAGCAGTTGCTTGAGATCTGAAAACTCTTCATATTGAAAAGGTTCAAGACTTAAAGTGGCAGGCTTCATACCTCCAGCTGTTCACACAGTGAAACCCCAGACATGATGGACTCTGAAAAATAAAGTTCTGTGGATATACTGTACTGTATGAAATTAAGAAACTTTTTTGCATGGACACAGATTTAGCTGAACACTTAAATTATTTTCTTGGGGCTGCAACTTGCAAAAAAAAAAAAAAAGAATAAATCAGCCATTTTCAACAGTTTATATTATTTTTAAAGATAAATTTCACTAGTGCATGGTTTTAAAGGGAAGAGAATGCAACAGGGTGATACAAAGACACACCACGTTTATCATTCTTTAAACCAGTCATGGTCTGTGTTTTTGCAGACTTATATTAAAAATAAAAAAATAATTTCTAGCAAATATTTAAAATTCTGTTTATGTGACAAGAAATAAGTGTAATATATTAAATTTATTTAAATGTAAAAGGTACAAGCCTTGTAAAGTTCAACATAATGTGCAAATTGTACACTTCTTTTACCTCCTTCTTTCTCTATATCTCCTCCCAATCTCCTTCTTTTGCTCTTTTCCCCCTCTACCTCCCAGGATGATCAGCATATTCTAAAATGGCTACCTTTTGACTTATTATTGTCTTATGCCCCATATTTGGTTCAGGGTTGCAGATTGTTCTGCATTTCTGAATTATTTGAGAAAAATATTGTTTAAGAGCTTACTTTTTTTCAAGCATGTTGAAAAGGATTTTGCAACATGGCTTGGGAGTACATTAATGTAATTCAGCATGTATTTGATAAAGAAGATATTTGAACTTTTGCAATTTATTGTACAGTGCATGGTAACTTATTTTCATTTTTTCTCACCTTCAAATTGAATTCTACAGCAAAATACTGGAATCATGTGGCCATTGTAAGATGTCTTCAATAAATTTGTGTTCAGCACCAGCATCTTTCATTCAAAGACTGAACTATTATTTCTTGAAGGTTTTTGGAAAGAGGAAAAATTAAGTATCTGACTGATTTTTAGGAAACAAATTTAAGCATTTTTATTTGCACTAAACCAAATTGATTGCTACATTTTTGAAATAACAGAAGCAACAAAGGTTACAAATCCATACAGTTCTGCTGTAAAGTTCAATTTTCATAAATTACATTTGCGTTGCAAAAGACATAATTAGATAATATCAGTCTGGAAGGTATCAGTCTTTGGTTGGTAAAATAGCCTTAAAGAAAGCTTATCAGTACCACTCTGTCAGCTATTTGACACCATTACCAGAACCTTGCTGCAGTTAATGGATCTTCAGAACCCTGGGGTTTGTAGCAGATAGTAGCTACCATCGGGTGGTGCTGCAAGTTCAAGCTTCTCATTAAGTTTTGTTATTTAAAGGGAATGTAACTGGCTAATGTTTAATTACAAAATATCCTTTTCTTCTTTTTCCTGGGTCTTTGTATGCCTTTAATACCTACTAAAGGTTTAATATTGAAATCTTGCAATAATTTTTCAAGTATGTTACATTTACCTTTATGGCCACAGAATTATTCTGATTTTATTTGAAAGTCTGTTGAAGTTTCCCATTAACAAATTGTACATGCCTGGTAAGAGGGAAAAAGTAATAACAGTATCACTTATAATGCCTTTTACTTTGTGCAATATCATAGAAAATGAGATTGTGTCTTGTCTGCAGAGTTTATATAATGGATTATTGTTAAGTTAATAGACAGACTGGTAAAATTATATTTATTGAAACAGTTTAGACACCTGTCTACCAGCAGCAAATAAATACTACTAACATGCAGTCTACAATATCCCCTAGATATTAAACAAAAATACATAACCATTTTCCTGACACTGTGAGATGTGCTCACACATTCTTGTATGCATAGTCCTCTATAAATTATTTCAAATTTTAAAATCAAGGACATGACGCATGGAAGGTTTGTACATAATTGTCATTATGCAGTATTTATTTTAAAAAAATTAATGTATTTTTTTTAATTTTCACACGTCTGCAATTCTACTTATGGTTTAGTCATGTAAATAGTACTATTCCAGTGATCACTGCTGTCTTGTAAATAGTACGTTTTAAAAAGTTAAAAGGAATTACAGTTGGGGGAAAAAAAAGGGCAGATTAGGCCTGTAATGAACACCAACTAATGTAAATCAAACTCATTCTGGTGATGGTATTTAACACTTTAAATAAAACATTTTCTTTACAGAATTTGTGTGCAGAATTTTGTTGCTTTTCTCAGCACCCTTCCACACCCTTCAGTGGAGCTGGTGCACGCAGCTCACGCAGCTGGAGAGCAAGCATCCTTTTCTTCTCCCACAGGGCTGCAGGTGAAATGCCAGTGCCGAGGTGCCACTGTCCCTGCCAGGCTCGGGAGCAGTGGCAGCCAGGTGTGCCTGTCACCAGCCAGGCCCTGGGCTCTGTGCTCCGGCCACCCTCGGGCTCCACGTGCCAGTGCACGGCTCCCAGGATGGAGCTGGCTGCCAGCTGCCAGCTCTGGCTGCCAGGACATGCTCCAGCTCTGATAGAACCAGCACTAAATGTGCTGAGACTGTGAGGAGGAGCCATCAGCTGCTGTGGAGTGGCTGCACCGTCCAGCTGGACTTCCACCCTACCCCTAGATACCACCTAATATTAGCTGCCTTTTTTCTTCATGAGCAGGGTACAAATGAGGACAGAATGCCCACCTGACAGTGGTGCCTGCAAGGGCTCCTGCAGCCTCTGCAGAAGGGAGCAGTGGTCCAAGACCTCTACAGCAATTAGAGGGTTGGGTGGAGATGGAAGAGCAGAGGATTTATCTCTACCTGACCCCTCAGAGGCAGCATCAGCACAGGCAGTGGTGACTGGGCAAATCTTGAGCACTTATGACTTGGAAATTTACTGAAGAGTGGGAGGCTGGCTGGCAGTTTGCACAGCAAAGTGTGTGTATTTATTTCCAGATAAGAGGTGAAAGAAAAGCACTGCAGTATTGCCATGAGACAGAACCACCAAAAAAGCAAGCAAAGGTATTTTGGGCTGAGAGCAGTTCTGGGAACTGTGAAGATAGGAACTCCATTTCTTGCACTGCATCTGCAAGTGGGTTGCTGGAGGAGCAGCAGGTTTCTGGTGTGCTAAAACACTAATACCCCAGCAGGTCCCTCTTCTGCTGATGCTGACAATGCTGTAGCAACATGTCAGGCAAGTCTCTGGGTGGGAACTGGACTATGGGGGCAGGTGAGACTGCCCCATGCCCAGGAGCACATCACTTCCAGCCCTGTGGTGAGGTGAGCAGCAAACACCTCCTCCCACATCTGAACATGAGACTGTGTCTGTCTTTGGCACTTGTTAGAAATGTACACCATTACACTCAGCTAATCCTTGAAAAGGCCCTTTGTACAGACCAAGAAAGCTACAACATATACTTTTCTAAAGGGTCCTATTCTCTGAGACAATTTCTCAAGATTGCTTGCTGTTTATACTCTCCAGTTAGTTCTTGTCTATGCCCACTTAATTTCAAACCAAACAAAACTAGATCATTTTAATATTAACAGTACCACTTTACTCATGACTACTAAACTTTGGCTCAAACGGATGATTCATCTGGTATGCTGAGAAGAGTTTGTGCCAATAAAAAATGCAGTATAATACCATGGTGCCCTGTGGGGCTTTTCTGTTTCCATGCCTTTACTTCAGATTTACAAGGCTTAAGTAGCATGATGGCATAGTAGTATTACATCAGGCAGCATGTTGAGGGTGAGCATGGGGCCAGCACCTCCTCACCAGCACACCATTGTATTCTTGCAGTTTCCCACTACTATCAAATATCTGTTCACCACTGTATAATACTTAAAATGTAATAGTTTGTATAGAGAGGCTTAATATGGCATAAAAGATAACAAAGCAATAGATTTCATCACTTCCTCACAAAGTTAGATAATGCTGTGTGGGAGTCTAATGTTTCCTTGGGTACCCAAGCAGCAAAGAGCAGACACCACAGCTGTAGATATCACAATCAGCTTCCAACTTTGACTATCCTCTCTGTCCCTTCCTTGGTAAGTATTTACAGCAGTGCTTCACCAGGAGCAAGCAGCAATGCAAGAAAGAAGATACATGTGTCCAGCAAAGAATGGGTCACCTTCAAAGGACAGGTTTATGGAACCTATCTTAGCTGGCAAGAAAAAAAATACAGCTATCTGTTACTTATACCAAAGATAAATTAATTTCTGGCATTATTTGCTTAATACCTGCCTATATTTGACGTCTTTTTTAGGATGGGATGAGTCATGCTGGGGACATCAAATTCTCTACTTCTCTCTCCATTGACCACAGAGGCAGAAAGTGATGACTGACTTGTGTTGAATTTCTACCTTCACAGCAGCTGTGCTTAGGAGAAGCAGATCCAGGCCAGAAATAAGAATCAGGATTCCTTCAGTAGTCCTTCAGTAGCAAGACCTATCTGAACTGTCTGTATAATTACCAGAACTGAGGGCATCAGGCAGCCAGTAACTGATGGGTGTGAATTAATTTCCCAGATCTGACACACTGTCGTGTCAGATGACTCCTCAGCTTGGCCTCAGGGAGAAAGAGAAGCAGCCATACTAATTAAACCACAGAGCACTGATGCCCTAAAATATGCCATGAGGTCACATGGAGAAGAAACAACATCCTAGATCTGCAGAGGGTGCAGGGCACGGGACTAAGGAAAAGTTTGTCATAAGTGCTTGCCTGCTGTGACTATTCCTGTAACCAGGAACAGTTCATCAAGAGCTATCCAAAATGTAGATATAATGGAAGTGATGTTGGCACGAAGATGGAATATGTGAGTGGTGTTGGATTCCGCTAATTTTATAGACATGGAGGTTTAGGATACCTTACTTAGGTGGGAGCAGGTTTGGCACTGGTAGAGTGTTTCAAGCACAAGACTCACAAGCAGTGGCTGAAGTCACTTGGCTTTTTCAGCTTGGAGAAGGATAAGGAGTGACTCCGCCACAGTCTAAAGCTTCCTCTTCCTGGGGACCAGTGGAGGGGGATCTGATCTCCTCTTTGGGGAGCAGCGATAGGACATGGGAAATGGAATGGAGCTGCATTGGTCTAAGTTCAGATTGAATATTAGGGAAAGGCTTTTCAACAAAAGGGTGGCCGCTCACTGGAACAGGCTCTCCATGAGAGCAGTCATGAGTTCAAGGAGGGTCTGGAGGATGCTCTTAGTCACCTGGTTTAGGTAGTCCTGTGAAAAGCAGGAAGTTAGACTCGATGCTCCTTAGGGATCCCTTCCAACTCAAGATATTCCATTATTTCTTTGGACAGGTGGGCTCATGTAAGAGTTGTTAGTCAAAGTCCTTCTAGCTGTCTAGATACAGTTTTGGTAAAGGAATTATCAGTGTTTTAAAGATGATATTTGTATTACGGTGATACCATTCACTGAAATGAAAACAAACCAAAACATCACAATTTGCTAGGCCAAAACTCAACAAGTCCTGCTATGCTGATAATGCAACTGACACATGAAGAAAAGGGCCAGTACTATCCTTGACAGTGCATGTTAGCCTAGTTTGAATGCAAATATTATTGATTTTTTTTCTCATCCTCTTGATGAGAGTTAAAAGAGATTTAGGTAATACTGAGGGATTAAATAGTAACGTGAAATTATCAAAGTAGCAGATACTTTATTGATACCTATTCTCATCCCCCCCTTCTTTTGTTTATCTTTTATTAGTATTTTTGCTGCAACATTCCTGAATACTGGCAAGACAGATCCCTGAAAATGAGGAAGTCATTTATATCAGGCACCATCTCTCAGGTACCAGCACACTGCAAGTTCTGCTACTTGGGAAGAAACTCAGTTAAGAAGCTTGAGGACTTTTGAATTTTCTTCTTACAGTCTCCCACACACCGGAAATGACACAAAGATTTTCTTTATCTAACAGTTTCTCAGCCCATATTCTGATTCCGTACCAAATTCTGAGCTGTGATTTGGTGTTTTGGAATCTGTTCTCAAGAACTGCTTACACTCAGATCTGCTAACCTGGCCTTCCAGACGCCTTAGTTACCATCTGCCACATGCCTGAGGTGTCAGTGCACACAGTTACACAACCTCATGCACAAACAAATGAGTTCTGTCCTTCACTGTGTTTTGGCTGTACAAACACTGTTTTGGCTCAACAGTCTGGAAGCCAGCAGCTCTGGCTCTCTAGGAACAGCCCTGGGGTAGTATGGCAGTTCACCAACAGACAATTTATTCTTCACTAGCAAAATTACAACTTGGAGAATTGACATTTTTTATATATCCTGATGCACTTTGGCCATTGAAATAAAGTGAGAGCTAAGAAGGCTGGATCTCAGAGTGAGCCAAGAAGCATTTGGGTAACATGAAGGGAAAAAGTCTACTTAAATCACTAAAATGCAACCGCATTTTAAGTTGTCCCCTAAACACGAGTCATGTGATAGACAAAGAAACGTTGAATCCCCATTCATACAGAGGTGACATTCCTGTCAGCACCTTAAACAAAACAAAACAAAGCAAAACAAAGTTGTCACAGTTGAGCTCTGAAAGTTTCATTAAGACAAAAAACTAAGGCAAGTGAACATAAGAATCCTCATTTTGGATTGCTGTGAATTCTTCTCATTTCTAACCCAGGATTTCTTGTTTTCAATTAGCATGGTATCAGTAAAAATCACAGTATCTGTGCAGCTGTAGGACTAGTTTCTTTAGTTATACATGTTTAACTAAGAATGTATTTTTATATTGTTTTCTTTACGTGTTTAGGCACAGTTTTATTTCCTTGTTTCCTTTAAGAAGGATCCAGAACCAAGATGCTTTCTTGTGACTTTTCCACATTCATGCATATCTGATACTTAAAATATGAGCAGGTGCCTCAGGCAAGAGATTCAGAATACAGTTTTCTTACACGCTCAGCAGCTTTGCTTTCCTAGCCAGTGTTGAGTTACAAACTTAGTTGTGACAGCTGGGTGTCAACATCAAGCCACAGTTACAGTCCAAGATGGATACTCAGGCTGTGTTCAGACATCTAATTTAGCTGAAATTCAGAGGGCCAAAATTAATAGTCTATTTAATTGTACTTAATGAAAAGAGACAGGAGAACCTCCATGATAACTCTAATTTTGGATGTTCTGGGAAGCCATTTTGAACACTTCACCATCAGCTGCATATGAGGTCTAAGACAGTTCAGCTTCCAGGGTGAGTAATGCAAAAAGCTCCTAAAATGAGCATG